AAGAAGTGGGGTGCTGGAACGGTGAGAGGGACCCGGAGAGGGAGGACGGCCCGAGGCGCGGGAACGCGGGGCGGGAGGGGGGCCAATACCCCTCTCTGGAATCGGGGTGTCCGGGCTGTCGCCTTCCTTTCCTGGGTGCGGCCACCCGTCCCCACGGGGGACCTGACATCTGGGTCCTCGCGAGGACTTTTGCCGGCGTGCACCTGCAGCCCCCACCCCCCGTTAGAATAACTCCAGGCCCTCTGCCCCCTCCCCAGATCCCAACAGGCCCCCCCAGATCCTAAGTCCCAGTAGATGCAAAGAGTCCTGGTGTAGGGCTTGGGGTCCTAGGTCCTAGTTCCGGCCTTGACGGGTGACCTTGGCCACTTCCTGCCCCTCGGGCGGCCGGTGTCAGCATCCGTCAGAGCTGGACGGTCCCAAGGAAGGGACGACTTCAGGAGTCGCTGGTTCCAGGCGTCTCTAGCCCCGGGTCCTTCTCCCGACCCTTTTCTGGAGCTCGCGGGTCTTCAGAGCGACCAGAGCTGCAAAAGGGGTGGCCCCGTCCCTGGCGGGGTGGCCGCCCGTCTCTTGGGTGCTCAGTTTCCACTTCTGCAAGTAGCCTCCGGCCTGGCATGCGACACGTTCAGCCCAGCAAATGCCTGTTTTTGTTACCACTGGGGAGCAGCCGGGGGTGGGGCAGGAGACTCCCCCGCGTCGGGGGTGAGGCGGCTGAGGGTCCCGGGATGGGGGGCGTGGGGTGGGGCCGGGTGACGCAGCCAAGCCGAGACTCCACCCCCTGGCGGGTTGGGGGCGGGGCTTCAAGACGCCAGCTGTCAGTCTTCCAGAGAGCGGTGGCAGCTCCGGCCAATCAGAGGCGAGGACGGCTGCGGGCTGCGCTCCCATTGGCTGGCTCTGCCCCTCGGGTGGGGAGCGACCCTTTATCAGGCGCCCGCTGTCTGCCGGCTCCCCTCCCAGCGCCCGGGGTCCCCGCGCGGCGGGGCCGAGGCAGGAGGCTCCGAGAGGCGCAGGGAGTGGCCCGCGGCCACACAGCACACCCTTGGCCCGACGCCGGCCCTGACCTCTGCATGCTGGCCCCTGTCCAGGGTCGCCATGGCCTTCGGCACGCTTCTGCTTTGGAAGAATCTCACCTACCGCAGGAGACAACCGGTAACGCCCGGGCGTGCGGGGCTAGGCGGGCGGGCAGCCCCCCGCAAGCCCCTCAGCTCCCACCCGCTGTCCCCCCAGGTCCAGCTCCTGGTCGAGCTGCTGTGGCCACTCTTCCTGTTCTTCATCCTGGTGGCCGTGCGCCACTCCCACCCCCCGCTGGAGTACCACGAATGTGAGCCCCGGGCCCGGGCCCTGCGTGGGGGGGACCGGCGGGGGCCACCCTAGACTCAGAGACCAGGCCCTGCCTGTTGGGGCGCAGGCAGGGGCCACCCTGTGCCCTGGGGCCCCTCCTCCGGGCCCAGGGGTGAGCGCCCCGTGGCTGGAGGCATGCGAGCGGTGCGGGCGAGCCCCAGGCCTCAGGCCCGGCGTCCCACAGGCCACTTCGCCAACAAGCCACTGCCGTCTGCGGGCACCCTGCCCTGGCTGCAGGGCCTCGTCTGCACCGTGAACAACACCTGCTTCTCCCAGCCGACGCCCGGCGAGGAGC